GTGAAGTAGAATATACTTGTTTGAGTTGAGGATCTTAATGGACATAGGCAGGAAAGAATGTTTGTATTGGTTCAGCCTGCTCTGGGGAACCCTGAATCACCTACCAGAGGGTAAAAGCTGGAACTGTGGATGGAGAATGTGGGTTGGATCAGAAACTATTTGTTTAACCCCCATAATTTTCATAGCAGTGTGTACCAGAGGAGGAATTTGCGATTTCAGCTGTACAGACAAGTTACTGCTCTCCAGGACTGCACTGTAGAAAAGCAACATGAACTTCTGCTCAACTCCATACACTCCTAAGCCTACTTAAAAAATACATCCACTGTTGCAATCTAGAGCAGAGACTGTCGACAGGGGCCTTCCAGCACGGCCTTAGATCACCTACTGCCATCTCCTCAGTCTTTTTCACATTCAAGACAAGATGGTTAGTGTCGAACCACTGCAGAATTCTCTTTATTTCAGAGTGGTAGACTGATGGACTGCTGTCTCTCTGCAATAGTCCCAGGATGGCTGTAAAGTCTGAGAAATGAATAATAAAGTTCTCAGGGTGGGTTCTCGTACATTCATCTGTGTATAGTGTAATGAGAACCTGACACAGCCCTGAGGGGCACCAGTGCTGATTTGCCTGGGCTCCGAGAGGGCATTGTTGACTCTAAAATGCGGTACGGTTGGTTAAAAAAGAAAAATACCATTTTAGAATAAAGACACAAATCTGTTTCAGTTTCTGTGTCAACAAATGAGGCTGAACTGTATTAAATGCTGAGCTGAAATCAATGAACAGTAGGCGTGCATAAGCCTTAGGGTCTTTCAGGTGTTTAGTGACCAGATGTGTAATGGTATTAATAGCCTCATCTGTGCCACGCCCTCATTTGTAAGCAAACTGGTAGGGGTCTAATAATTCATCTACAACATAATCCACTCAAAATATTTCATAACAATGGAAGTCAGCGCAACAAGACATCTTGTGTCCAGCAGGAAAACTTCAAAAATTAATAACATTTGCATATTCAAATAGTGTGGGATCTTTAATCTGATTTCATGTTTGTTGCTGTCTTTTATAAGTGTAATAATAATAATAATAATAATAATAATAATAATAATAATACACTGTAACGTGATAAGATATTTTAACCTAAAGAAATTCTTGAAACTGATTACATCAAACATTTTATGTAGCTTAGTAAGTTACAGAAACATTCCTGATTAGGTACTTTTGACTATTTTTTTTTTTACAGTACAAATAAAAATGATAAAATTAAGTCGTAGTAAAAATGTATGCCCTCTGAAACCTGCCCTACCTGGTAAACAACCTCATCTTTCAGACACGCTGCAACCAGTTTATAAATGTAAGCTCCTGCAGACCTACAGACGACATTATACACCCGTTTTCACAGGCTAAGTAGTACTTACGATAGCGTAAACAGATCTTCACGTCGGAGAGATGGCCCTCTAATATTGTGATATTGATTTCAACCAGCTATATACATGGGAGCTTAACGTTTACCTTGAGGACGTCCTGGAGCTGCTTTAGAACAGCATGCACTTCTTCTTTAAGCAGCCAGTTGAACTCCTCCTCCTACCAAAAAGAAAAAAAATACAGATTGAACTCTTACATGATTATTAAACATAAGAAGTAATATCAAAACCATTATATCAACTGCTCTTCCTTTCTCTGTGCAGTTGAAAAAAAAATCTTACCTAGTGCTCCTAATGATATTTGCAAGAATCCACCGGACCTGAATGAAAACAACCAATCAGAGCTGAGAAAAATAGCTGATTGTTGATCGTCTCATTCCCAGGGAGTCAAATACAGACGCTTTGAGACCCTGGGAATGAGACTCAACAATCAAGTCTCCAACCCAAAGTGTATTTGAATCTTTCTTAGCTCTGATTGATTGTTTGCATTCAGGCCCAGTGGATTCTTGCAAATACCATTAGGAGCAGTAGGAGGAGCCAGAGGAACCTGATTTTTCCCAGATTATCTTATGTACTCCTGTCTGGACACAGTTAAAATTTCAGCAGCTTTAATGCCTCTGTCCTATTTCCATAAATTATAATAGCAAAAAAGATATTACCTGGCTAGCCATAGCTCTGGAGATTGGCTCTTAAAGGTGAGTTAAAATAGTGTGATTTGATTTTAAGCTAATGTTTTATGGACATTTTATATAGTACAGCCATTTTAGTATGAACAATGAGACAATTTGCCTTTAGTCTTCAGGTAAAAAAAAAAAAAGGCAACAATTCTTATTTTCTGTTCTGAAAACATATCTATGAATATTGTATTCAATTTCTGCCATTATATCCTCCTGAATGTTACTCACTGGACCTTTAATACAGTTGCAATACATGTACTTTTTCCATTATAATAGTTGCAAAACTTGTTTACAGTGGCAAAATATAGATTAACTTTTCTGTACAGTTTGTTTATAGCTCGATCTTTCAGGCATTTGTACTCTGCACCTGACTTCATTCTACAGATATATATTTACACTCTAAGGTGTGCACCAACTAAACATTATGCAGTATAATACAACAACCCTGCAATAAACAAAGGTTCAAAGGAGTGTGTTTAGACTAAATATAGCGCAATCCAATTCAACACCAGCACATTAATTTACAAATGAATGACGTTTTGAACTCTAAAGAAAAACGAGACTCATTTCCCCTCAACCTGCATCAGAGCTGTTTCAGGCCTGCTTCGTGTCCAAGAGTGCTGACTCACAGGGCTCATTCAACCCTGAAGTGTGCAGAATGTTTAGACTATAAATAAAGTACAAAATATGTAATATGAATTTAGTCATTGCCAATTCCTTATTTTTTTTCACAACAATTTACTACAGGTTATTTCTATTTATATATACTGCAGTTTTTTTCAATGTTTTTTATAATGTCTGCTGTATTGTACAATGTGATTTTTCCCAATGAGTTATTATTTCATAATGCCACTTCTCACCAAAGTCTCTTTTCATAATAATGAGTGAGTTTTGAAATACATATATTTCACAATTTAATCAGTATTTATCCATATGATGTATTATATTATGTCTAAAATCATGTATTTTAACAGTTTGGGTCTCCTCTGGTTAACAGCAGGCATACTTAAAACAGGTCTTTGACATTATAAGACACTTGCAATGAAGCATTTTTCCAGCCTATTCACTACAGCTCATGTCTACATTCATTCACTAATAACCATTTTCAGAAGCATATTAGTATGCCTTTTTTGTCTTAAAGGGGGTTTCGGTTCTTCCCACAGCTGCTGGTTTGCATTACATTAGAAGTATACATCAGATTTCAGAGGCTTAGCTTGGAATTTGTTTAAAGCTGCAGTAGGTGATTTTTATAAAAATAACTTTTTGTCATATTTGCTGAAACTCTCACTATATCCTGAAAGTAATACATGGTCTGTTGCCTTCAGGTGCTGTCAGAAATAACGGGAGCTTCCATTAAACATACACAAACAGCGGTGGATATAAATGAATAAATGACGATTTGGATCAAAAGACGGGCTGCTAATATCATCTTAAAGAACATTCCAAAAACAATTATATGTATACTGACTGGTGGATTTTGTTGTCAATTCCGACCAAACCAATATAATGAGGTGAATTTGTTTCGGTCTATACGGAACGCGCCTGAATGTAGCATTAGGCCGGTCACACCTTCACTATTAAAGTGGCCACACCCACTAGTCCTTATTAGGGAGTACAACTTCCGCCCAGCGTGACACAAACATTTAGTACTATTGGGTAATAACAGCCCCCCTTCCCCACTGTCATAGGTATAAATAACTGAATCAACAAGTAAACAGGCATCTGTAGCGGCCATTAGGATAACATATTCAAGGAAGTCTGCAGTCTAACATCTGGGCATATTTCAGTCCTTTATTTCTAAACATACTGTAATTACCTTGGGAAGCTTCACTGTGCCAGCAATTTAGTTTAATTTAATTCAAACAATTTAGTATTGCACCTCGAAGTCTGGGACTTCAAAGAGACATTTTCAAAGTGGCACAGGATGAGATACCCTCCTTTGTACTCATAGTCAATCTCTAACAATCTTTTTTATAAAGTTGTACTCAGGTTTATTGTAAGATCTGAGAAAATAACCCTTACGCACAGTGATTGGCTCCAGTATATCTTAAAGCTGCAGTAGGTAACTTTTATAAAAATAACATATCTCCTGAAATTTTGTCATGACAGATAATCTGTGAAAACATCAGCTTCCTCTGGCTCCTCCTAGTGCTGCTGTTGGTATTTGCAAGAATCCACCAGGCCTGAATAAAAACAACACAGCAAATATGTGACATAAAAATTATTTTTATAAAAATTACCTCCTGTAACTTTAAGGCTTTGAGACACTATAGGTAAATAGGTATAGGTTTTTTTCCTGCACTGGTCAACTTAGAAATCTTTGCCTATTTTGCTTCCATAACATGTCTTCTTTCAGACTAGTGGAAAGAAAACATCCCAAATACACATTTAGGTGTTTAATTTACTGCATTCTGTCTATTTGCGTCTGTAGATTTCGCCAAAAAGTTAGCATTAGTCCGCCTCATTTGCATATTTAAATATAAATTAAAATAAAAAAAACTTGTAATACAAAAAATAACTGCATTAAATGTCCAGCGTGTATGATTTAGCAGCATCTAGTGGTGTAGTTGCAGATTGCAGCTCCCTTGCTTCATCCTCTCCTTCCAAACACCCCTGTTTAGAGCCAGTGTTTGGTTTGTCCCTTCTGGGCTACTGTAGAAACATGGCAACATGGTGGACTTCACAGTCTGAAGATTATATACGCTCATTCTAAGGTAACAAAAACATAACGATTCCTATATTCAGGTGATCATACACTAGACATAGTTATGCATATTATATTCCATTTTTAAATAATTAGATCCTCCTAAATGTTACACACTGGACTTTTAGATGCTATTTTCTCAAACTCTGAGCCAGAAATCTCCACTTCAGTAACACTTACATACACCATACCTTGCAGGTCTATTCCGATCTATATTCTTAAGGTTTTTACAGAGAAGTTTGTTATATATATCATTTATAGCCCGATTTATATCACATTTTATTCATAACAAAATGGCTTAAATTGATTTTTCAGTTCACTCAGTTTGAGACTGAGGTAAAGAGAGAACAAACAGACAAGAATTTTGAACATAGCTTTATCCAATGTTGGATGGAAATCAGTGCATTTTCAATTAAATGACTCATCTGAATATGTAAATACAAAAAGTGAGTAAACCTGTAGTACAAAAAAAAAAACTGTCTTGGTGTAAGAAACCAACCTGGAAGTTTCATGGTGATATTCATTAGTTACATTGTATTCACCTGTAGGGTCTCCCCCCAGGTTCATGACAGCGAACACTATATTTGCTTCTTGTTAAATGTACTTACACTAACGTTATTGTTCGGTATGGCTTGGAGCAAATGTGCTATATGTGCTATACAGGCCCGTTGAGGCGAACGGTAACAGTAAATTCAGACTTTCAGTTAAAAGCTTACCGATACATTGATAGTTGTTGGTTGAATGTCATGTTATATAATAATTTCACGGTCACCGCACGCTCAGTTTATCAAGTGTCTGTAAACAGGCCCGTTGTTGACATCATCACAGAATGAGCTGCACGAGCCCAGACTACAGCACCTGCATTGTTGAGCGAGGATGCTACCGTCCCTTTTGGCTAGCAGTAACGTTAGCTACAAAGGCAACTATTAGCTACTTTACTTACGTCCAGCTGTTATTGTTTTAAAAGGTATACATGCCAATACATATTATATTTACCGACAGCTCAGTCAGTAAGCCAGTGAGCCACACAGCGCTGATTCCCTGCCTAACGTTACTTGTATTGCCGCGGAGCAGCTTACCAGCACAGCTCGCTCCACTTGACTGGCAGCGGACATCTTGGGCAGCTCGGACAGGGATCTCTGTGAGTTGAGCATTTTGTGCAGCAGACAGAAACACACCCTCGATTAACACACTGTCCTCTCCTTAGGATGAAGGTGTCTAACTGCCCACTAGCTTAGCTGAGGGTCTGTTGCCTTCAGGTACTGTCAGAAATAACGGGAGCTTCCATTAAACATACACGAACAGCGGTGGATATAAATGAATAAATGACGATTTGGATCAAAAGACGGGCTGCTAATATGTCATCTTAAAGAACATTACAAAAACAATTATATGTATACTGACTGGTGGATTTTGTTGTCAATTCCGACCAAACCAATATAATGAGGTGAATTTGTTTCGGTCT